CCCTCCCTCCTCCTCGCCCCCGCCCTCCAAATAATAGCAGCAGCAACAACAAGTGGATGCGGTGTGCGCTGGACTGCGGGGCGCTCGGCTGCAGTGTAAACGGGCGTGCGAGGGGAATTGCCACCAACAGGGCGCCTCCTGCTATCACTCGCCAGTGCTCGGCTCGCACAGGGATTATTCCCCGTTGATTTCACCCTCCCGCCAGCGCCCGCTTTGGAGAGACAAGTGATCACACACACAAGCGTGTCCTCCCGCGCGCGCGCACACACACTCTCACACACACACACTCTCACGCACACACACACACACACACGAATCCTCTTTTTTGTTTCCTCCTGGAGCAAGATTCTTGATTGTTGCTGTTTTGCTAAGCTCTGGGCTAAGAAGTGACCGTCGCTGACCAGATTTCTCCAGAGCTGGGCTCCCCATCTGGCTCCCCCTGGGAGATCTGCTTGTGTACAAAGGGAACCGAGACAAATAAGTCATCCACCTGTAGTTTTGGCTGCCCCTACACCTGCAACCCTAGGCTGCTTAGTTAGCACCGTCCCCTTCTCAGGAGCTCTTTCTCCACATCCTTGGACGAGCCAGAAGAGCGTTGCTATTTCTCTGCCTAGGAACAGTAAGTATAATAGCATTTTTCTTCCTGCAGCATATTCAGAAAGGGGTGTGTGCTGTTTTTAGGGGTGTGTGTGTGTGTGTGTGTTTGGGTGACCGTGTGTTGTTGCTCCAGGAAGCTACAGTTTGTATTTTTTTGTCAGACAAGCATGGATGTTGGTCACTGGATATGCCCAGGTATGTACCTTTTACTAAGTGACAGTTTAGTAAAAGGTGCATTGTGACTACATCACAAGTTAGATTTGAAATGTACTGTATCATTCCTGCAGTTAATTAAGTTCCCAATATGTAGCAGAGCTATTTTGTATACATCTCCGTGTCACATTTGATATACGTAGAAGATTTTATACATACAAATACAGTCTTTATGTAAAGTCTTGCAAATTGTGACTGCCATGTACAGTAGTATTGATGTGAATGTTGCGCTCTCTCCTAGAGTTAGGAAGATAAAACAATTACATACTTAAGTACACCTATATGTGTATACACACACACACTCGTATCTGTACACACAATCATAGAAAACCTATGGGTGTATGGAATGAATGTGTGTGATGTATTAATGTGAAGGGGGTGTGTGTATGTGTGGCTGAACATTTTAGTAAATGACACAATTTGCATTTGACCTACACTGTGGCATCTTAGGAAAACGAACCAACCTTTTCTAAACCTTTCTGTTTTCTTTGTTATTTTTGTATGTATGTGTGTTTGCTGCATGTGCCTCAGGTTAAGTGCTTCTTCTGCATGAGCATAACCAAAGGGTGATCCACTCTCTTGTCCCCTATGGAGTCCTCCAAGCCAGTGTTGCAGCCTTCTCCTCCTCCTCTTGCCACTGCAGCTACTGCCCTGGCTGCTGCTCCGAGGTTTGAGACTCTGTTGACAGGCTGAAGAAAGAGGGCTTGCAAAGACCTCCTCACTGTGTAAACAAAATGATGGCTGGAAGTTACTTCAACTCCCTCAATATCATTATTAAACAGTAATCATATTGCTAGACCAAAGCATTACTTGGAGAAAATGATGAGAAAAGAGACTATTTGCATTTGGTTACAGTGATAAACTAAAGACCTGAAACTTTTCTTTGTCAAGAAAACAACAGGACAGTTACCTCGTTTTGTATGAACACTTGGCTCTTTATTGGGTGCAGTCCTTGGAGCTACAACAAAATCACACATTTGAAAAGATGTGTGGATTCTGTATTGGCCACTGAAGTATCATAAAAATAAAGAGGCTTGCCTGATGAAAGGATGAGGCCTTGACTCTTTCTGAAATCAAAACTGAAGGCTGCATCTTTTCCTTTATTTTTTTTTGTGAACAAAACACGGTTATATTTGTCAGACATCCTGAATGATAAGAAAATGCAGATTTTGTGGTGGTTACAATTTCACAAAACACAAATTCAGTTTTACTAATACCATCATGTACTGTGCTTCCAAGAAACTGTCCTCCAAATGCAAATGGCTTTGAACTTTCCCTCATAAAAGTCAAGGTGTGACTATAGATATCCCAGACTATTTTGTATTAAACAAACAGTTACAAAATGGAGGTTGCAATGGTGAGTGCAGAGAGCTCTGGCTGCAACAGCCACATGCCCTATGGATATGCTGTCCAGGCTCGGGCTCGGGAGAGAGAAAGACTGGCACACTCGAGGGCAGCGGCAGCTGCAGCTGTGGCAGCAGCAACAGCAGCAGTAGAAGGCGGCGCCTCGGGAGGAGGTGGTCCCTATCATCACTACCACCAGATACAGAGTCGGGGGGCTTCTTCTTCTCACGATGGCAATGCACCACATAGCAGTTTGCCCTGGCATCAAAGCAGTAGAAGGAGAAAGCGAGGGAGAAAAAGGAGCCACTATTTGAGTAGCAGGGAGTGTGGGGCCTCCTTCCTCTGTTCTGAGCTGCTGCCTCTAAGTGGCTCTGAAGAGAAGATACTGAAGGACTTGAGTGAGGAGGAAGAGGAGGATGAGGAGGAGGATGAAGAAGATGAGGAGGAAGGGAAGTTCTACTACAGTGACGAGGATGAAGTGGATGAATGTTCGTATTTGGACCACCCACCTGATGATGGTGGAGGTGACGGCGGCCCTGGGGGCTACAGCACAGTGCGCTACAGCGAGTATGAGTGCTGCGAACGGGTAGTGATCAATGTATCAGGACTGCGGTTTGAGACTCAGCTGAAGACCTTGGCTCAGTTTCCTGAAACATTGCTGGGGGATCCGGCAAAGCGGGGTAGGTACTTTGACCCACTCAGGAATGAGTACTTCTTCGATCGGAACCGGCCCAGCTTTGATGCTATCCTGTACTACTACCAGTCTGGGGGCCGGCTGAAGAGGCCAGTTAATGTGCCCTTTGACATCTTCACCGAGGAAGTGAAATTCTATCAACTTGGGGAAGAGGCCATGCTCAAGTTCAGGGAGGATGAAGGGTTTGTCAAAGAGGAAGAGGACAAGGCTTTGCCTGACAATGAGTTCAAGAAGCAGATCTGGTTGCTATTTGAGTATCCTGAGAGTTCCAGTGCAGCCAGAGGCATTGCCATTGTCTCTGTCTTGGTCATCTTGATCTCCATCGTCATCTTCTGTCTAGAGACTTTGCCAGAATTCAGAGACAACAAGGAGCTTATACTGTCCCTGGGCTTGGGCAAGGGACTTTTCAATGAGACTCTGCACCTGGATAGTGGGGGGCACACCATTTTCAATGACCCATTTTTCATCGTGGAGACAGTCTGCATCATCTGGTTCTCCTTTGAGTTTACAGTGCGATGGTTTGCCTGCCCCAGCAAAGCAGTCTTCATCAAGAACATCATGAACATCATAGATATTGTCTCTATCTTGCCTTACTTCATCACCCTGGGCACGGAGCTGGCCCAGCAGCAGGGCAGTAATGGTCAACAGGCCATGTCTTTTGCTATCCTGAGGATCATCCGTCTGGTCAGGGTGTTCCGCATCTTCAAGCTCTCCAGACACTCTAAGGGTTTGCAGATCCTAGGTCATACACTCAGAGCCAGCATGAGAGAGCTGGGGCTTCTCATTTTCTTTCTCTTTATTGGAGTCATTTTGTTTTCCAGTGCTGTTTACTTTGCAGAAGCAGATGAACCTTCCACTCATTTTCAAAGCATCCCAGATGCCTTTTGGTGGGCTGTGGTGACCATGACTACAGTTGGTTATGGGGACATGAAACCCATAACTGTGGGTGGGAAAATAGTCGGGTCCCTGTGTGCCATCGCAGGGGTATTAACCATTGCTTTACCAGTGCCAGTGATTGTCTCCAATTTTAACTATTTCTATCACAGAGAGACTGAGAATGAAGAACAAACACAGCTGACACAAAATGCAGTCAGTTGTCCATACCTCCCAACAAATTTACTGAAGAAATTTAGAAGCTCATCATCTTCTTCCACAGAGGGTAAATCAGAGTATTTGGAAATGGAAGAAGGAGTTAAAGAGTCTCTTTGCGTAAAGGAAAAAAAATGTCAGGACACAGGGAATGACAGTGAGACAGAGAAGAAAAACTGTGTAAATTCAAAATCAGTGGAAACTGATGTGTAATATTGAAAGTTTCCATATATATTTATGCATTTAAGAGAGTGCAGTGATAAAAATGAAATATGCAAACAAAAGCCTGAAGCATACAATGGTATGCTCTTTATTGGTTAAATACAAATAAAAAAAGTATTGCTAAACTTGTATTACATATCAAGTAAATTATATACCTTGTGGAAGAGGTGGTTTGAGCTGATGTAATTTCATACTTTATATTTTTATTAGAATGCAAGTGTTTTGCACATGAGGGGAAGAAACCATTAAAACCAAGACAGTTTTAAATTTGCTGTGTGAACTGTTGACATCACTAATAAGACTTCAGCGGTAAAAGTTGGCATTCAGAGGTATTTACTATGTAAGAAACAATGAAGTTCAGTAGTCATTATCTATTTATCAATGCTTTAATAGCTGTTGCCATGGGATTTCATAGTTATCTTCAAAACAGTAAAAATTATTGTAAAAACCAAAATTATTCTACAGAACATAGGTCTAAATTTTATCTTGAAATATCAAATGCTTGTTTTTAATTGGAAACTAACTTTGAAAAGGCTGCTGCACGTCCAGAAATTGTTTATTTTTATAACTCTGTTTGGAGGCATTGCAGCATTTGTTGTCTAATCCATGGAAGAAATGAAGTAAGAGAATAATTTAACTTGGTCCAAACGCAGTGACTGGAATGATTTTTGCACTACTTTATATGCTGGAGATATATTGAAAGAGACTTCATACTGTGAATGTTTACTAATGTAGTAGTTCAATGACAATCATTGGAAGAATGAATTCTGCATCTCATTTTACTGTTTTTTTCTTTGTGTGATGCTGATGGCTGAGTAGCTAATGTTTATTCCATATTCTTTTAATTATGAATATCTGCAATCTGGAAAATGACAATGAAGTAAAATTTTATATATTTTTTTGGTTTTTCTTAAATCAGTCTCCTCTACAGAGGCCCTCAAAAATAACAATGTATGTTATATTTTCTTTACTGATTACTTCAGCATTCAGAACCCATGATAAATATGTGCACTTTGTCAGTATTGATGTAATTCTGAGTAATTGAAGAAACTGTAGCTGTAATAAGACATTTAACTGCTGCAGTGACGAGGACTAAGAATTGCTAACTTTTAAATGTGCTATTATTGGAGCTGTGTTTTTTTCCTTAATTACAGCTTTCACCCATGTGCATTTGAAATAACCTTTAAGATTCATAATAGGCATTCTGGGATTTAGAATAAACACTTCAGGACAAAGCCTGTCCTCAAGACAGTATGTCTTGATCCGTTCTTACTTATATTTAAGCCAGTCTTACCTTCCTTATGTATCCCAAGTTCCCATTAACCTCAGTTGGAGATGTATGTGTGCAAGGACTGTAGTATCAGGCCCATTGAGTATTTCAGAATTTGGAATGAAATATGGAAAGGATAATTTAACATACAGTATGCATTCAAAATAGCAACTTTTGGAGTTAGATTTATCTGAAAAGGGCATTATTAAAGTGAAACAGTTTTGGAGAAGGCATTGTTGTACCCAGAACCATCCAAATTATTATCCTTGAACAATATTGACACGAGCACTTTGGGATCTGGAAACAGGCATTGTGATAAGAAGATGGAGTTAAACAACACTAGTAAATTGGTGTGTTTTGCAATGGCAAGTATAATTGCTTATTTAAAAAATACATTAATATTATGGATGGTACAGAAAAAAAATTGCACTCAGCCCTGTTTGAAAGATCACAGATAAGCATTAGATTCTTAACATAAAATCCTGAACAGATTTCACCTATTTAGTGAACTGTCATTAAATTCAGCTAAATTTTATAATGTAATACCCAAATAGTTTTTATTTGTAGAAATTCACTATAAATAAGTAACATATTATATTTCATTTTTTAATAGGCAGCAGGTTTAAACAAACAAAAGGAAGTTTTTCTTCACTCAGTGCACAGTCATCCTCTGGAACTCCTTGCCAGAGGATGTGGTGAAGGGTAGGACTTTAACAGGGTTCAAAAAAGAGCTAGATAGATTCATGGAGGTCCATCAATGGCTATTAGCCAGGATGGATAGGAATGGTGTCCTTATCTTCTATTTGTCTGGAAATGAGTGTCAGGGAAGGGATCACGTGAGGATTACTTGTTCTGTTCCCTCCCTCTGGGGCATCTGGTATTGGCCACTGTTGGCAGACAGGATACTGGGCTAGATGGACCATTGGTCTGACCCAGTATAGCCATTCTTATTTTCTTATTCTCAATATTCTGTGTAAACAAATTTTAAAAAGCCAATAAACAGGGAATGTTAAGGATGAGCATTATTATTTATGCCATAACAATTAACCAAAAGAAAGTGCTCCCCTAACAAGTGTCAATAAAAACTTTAAGAACAATAATGGGCAACCTAAGTTAATGAGTGGGCTCCATCATATCAGTGGGCCGCAAAATCTGCTCTTATGTACCTAGAACTTGCAGGCTGTGCCATTTGACTCTCACAGTCAATGTGGCATGCGATCAGCATGCTCCTCACTTCAGATGCCCTTATTTTATGTGCATGTCCCTTTATAAAATACCAGTACAAAAAAACCCAACCCTATGTGGACAGAAACCAGTGGAATCTGGCATCCCTGCATATAAGCAGTTGCCCACCACTGATTAAGAACATATGGATTCCTTTGTATAATGGATTTATAGCAGTACTATATAAGCCAGGTCCCAGGTGATCTTATGTGAAAAGGTAGTGAAAAAAGGGAATATAATATAAAGGCAAATTAGTGGAAAATAAGGAGGGCAGGTTTGCATGATGATTTGCTGATAGGGAAAGTTGGGAATTTAGGCTGGATAAGAGACAATGCAATTTTGAATCTTGAGACTGGGAGTATTATAGAAATAAGCAATACAGCTCTTTGTTTCATAGGGAAACATATCTGTTTCATTACTCTTGGGACTTGCAGTAGTAAACAGAAGAACATTATGATGTCAGACAGAACTGCTGTCCCCTGAAGATGTAAGTGAGCCTGTGCACAGGTAACTGTCAGGTCAGGCAGAGATTGTCAATAGAAATGGGAATATTACAGCTCAATATTAGGTTGTGCTATGAGCTTGGCTGACCATTCTGAAACATAAAAAGGACTCTCTGTTTCTAGAAAGGAAACACATATTTTTATGTGGACCTTTGGATTTGATCAGTCAAGTGCTCATCAGTTTAACTAATTATGACACAGTCTGAAATGGCCAGAACCCTGTCATACAGTCAGTCCCTGAAAAGACCTAAAATCTGAAGGCTATAATCCTTGCCATGAAATGGCAAGTCTCAATAAAACACAATTTAGGCTGAAACTTTGTGCAAAAGAAACTCCCTAGTTAGGCACCTACTGTTCGCATTTATTACTACTGCTGGCGCTGTTAAAGCTTTCTTAATGTTATTTGATGCTAACATCTGACAGAATAAAATGTTATCATCATTTGGACATTCTCAGATTCTCAATTTATAGAAGTGAAATGCATCCCTGGTGTAAGCGCGCTAAAGTCAATGAAGTAGTACCAGGGATACATTTGGCCCCAGTAATGTAGTTCCAACCATGCCACAACTAACATATGCTCCAGCTACAAATAACACAAAATGAAATATTTTGAGATTTTGGGCCTGCTTCTCTTGCAGTGGTGTAATATCTAGAGCAATTCCAGTAGAAGTCTTTGAGTTATGCCAATGTAAAGTGAGACTTCAAATGGAGTTTGTTACTTAAGTTTCTAAATTGCTTCTCATGTTCAGGAATAAATATATCAATTTATAGTAATACTTGGTGCCAAGACAAGAAAGCAGGTTCTGAAGGAGCGTGCTTTACTAAAGGTAGAGCTGATTTAGTGCACAACTGCAAAAACTTAAATTTTTTCCTTGGTTACAATCATGCGGTTTCTTGAAATCACATTGATTCATGGAAACATCAGTCTAAAAGGCCCCCAAACTGGTATGAAATTAATTATTGTGTTTCTCAATTAAGAGCAAAATGTCTAGGTTTTTCATTGTTTAACAAAAACTTCTCAGAATGGTTTTAATGTAAAAACCCATTGCAGGTGGAGGAAAGCACAGTTCTTTGTTTTGATTTGAAGAAAATCTCCTATTACCTTTTCCTTTGTTGAAGAGAATCCATTTAATTAGTTTCCATGTCATGCAAAGTCATTTTAGGCCAGGGCATGGAAAAATTGTTCAATATGTGTTAGTCACAACAACCTTGTTCTTGGTATCTGGGGGTGTATGTGTTAAATATGAATTCTGGATTGTTCTTTGTCATAGAAAACATAATTGGTTGGCCAGAAAAACCTACTGATTTCTTAGAAGACAATTGGTATTAATTAGAACTAAATTACAGAACAGAACACTGAAAGCCAAGACTGGTAGCTGTAAACAAACTTTAAGGGACCGCAGGAAATTTGGCTATACTCATGATAAGTGGACATCTGGCTAAGTAAAATTATCCCAGACAATGGATGTTACCAAAGTAGAGAGTACCAGACTAGAGAGGTTAAACTTGTATTAGAATAAGCCTTGTGGATATTTGTTGATAGTCCTCAAATTAAATATGAACTTTACTTGACTTTTTTAGCTTCCAGCAATGCATTCCTTCAGTACCCATTTCTGACTGGTCCAGTGTTTGTTCTGTTTTCACTGTATCCTATTAGAAATACTGGTCTAAATTACTACAGTTAATTGGTATGAAAAAGTGATATGTCAAAACATAGCTTACCATTTTAAAATTGACATAATATCCTGTATAGATGCTATAATTTTTGTTATAACAGGGGTGCCCAGAATCCCAGTTCATAATATTTGTAGACATGGCTCAGGGTATGCATTTTATTGCTGATGTATTTGAATGACCAAATATTTTTGGCTTTGCAGTGAATGGGGTCTTGTGTAACTGTTTATCATATTTGTGCATTTTGTTTGAAACAAGTGAATGGGGAGAAATTAGTTATTTTTAATCATGGACTGAGACTGAAATGAATATTCCTTCATTTTTACAAAGATTATTTGAGGTGAATATAACTCTTGACAACCTAATTCCTGCTTAAACATTTAAAGATATTGTACCTGGGAACCAGGTATAAAAATTAAACTTTATATATTACTACCATGCTTTCTATGTATTCAGAACTCTGATTACATATTAGTTCATAAAGACAAGTCATTAAATCATTTTGTACTGAGAAGTGTTTGTGAAGTAATTTTTGTTTTAAACTTTTTTTCTGGAAAATTATAATTTGCCTTGAGGACTTTTTTTGCAACAGGTCCTTTACAAAAAACAAACAACTAAACAAATAAAAACAAAAGAAGAACAGAAAAGAAGAGAGATCTTAAGTTATGCTTCAAAATCTGATAAAAGATTCTGATTGGTGGAAAGTAGGTAAGTAAATATTTTGTTTAATTATTCCTTCAATTGTGCATGACCAGCTTTGCCACTAAATTCAAATTAGGAGTCAGATTGTTAAAAGTTCGCAAATGTAAGTATAGGCTATCCTCACTGAAGTCCAAGATATGTTTAAAAAAATTGGACCGATAGCGAAATAACTTAAAACGGAGATATTTTTCCCTGCAGATGACTTCTATTTATGCAAATTGGGCATTTTTTGTGCGGCTTAAGAGTGGGGAATGGGAGGAGATAGGTGGGATCAGCTCCTACAAGTGTCAACAACGTTAGTATGGAATGGATGCGTACCGGGGTGACTTATAGTGGAGATATAGTCCTGTATTTTATAAATTATATCTAATTGAGGTTCTTATATATCCCCCCCTTATTGTAGTATCTGAGCACCTTACAATCTTTAATATTGGTATTCTCATAACATGCTTGTGAATTAGGGCATACTGTTATCCCCATTTGTGCATTGAGACTTAAGGCATAAGGAGACTGAGATGGGGCCCAAGGGCATGCAGAAAGTCTCTGATGCAAGGATTTAAACCTAGATCTCAAAATCTGACACTAGCACACCGAATAATGGATCATGCTTTCAAAAGTATTTTCCTGAAACAAAAGTCAGATATTTTTCACTGCAGAGATGGTGGAGGGATGGGGAGGGTGGAATGGGAAGCAGGGGAGAGAACAAGATGGATACATCTCTTCTTTATTTCTCCTTTATGTGCTGCTGGGGTTTTTATGTTTAGTTTTTGGGGTATGGGGTATTTGATTATGTAAGTTATATGAAAAAGAGCTTTGACATATGAAGAGATAGGTGGGTTTGTTATCATCTTCTGCATCAAAATAAATCTAAGAAATATAAAGTTTAGGCTCAGTCTTGAAACATTCAACTAGAGAAGATTTCTTTCAAATTGATGATGGAACTTGCATGATTGGATTCCCCAAATGATCACGTCATGGCCATAAGAAATATTTACTGATGATGGAAATAGAACCAATATTATACAATGGCATTATAGACAATAGGCTATTTTTCAGCCTAATCCTACTCCCCCGGAAGTTGATGTTAAAACTGTTGGCTTCAGTGAGTATTACACTTGGCCTTTATCAACTATTGAAAATACTATTATTACATAGTTTGAGAACACCGTTCATATTTGTACTATATATTGTCATTTATAACATGACCTGATCTTGTTCCCATTAAAGTCAATGGGGATTTTGCCTTTAATATAGGAGCAGAGCTGAGACCAGGATATCTGTTCTGAGGTTTGTTACTTGTACTGTATGAACAGTGTTTCATTTCCCTCCTTTATTGATTTCATATTGATACAGCTTTATAATGAATTCAGGGAGTTAGTGGGCGTTTCCTCTTGCACAGAGGAGTCCAAGTATAGAAATCAGCAAAAGACCAACGATATAAACTGCAGGTACTTTTTATTTTCTTGACTAAACAGAATGATGCACAACATTTCACTGTAATGCAAGTATATGAAAAGGGCTTTACATATCAGATCAGCTGAAACGAGCAGTACCTCTTTAAAGGGCTCATTAAATGGGCATCTTGCAAGGTGCTGAGTGCCCTCTCCTGGCACAGACTTCAAAAGGATTGTAGGATGCTGAGAATTTTCTGAGAGGGGCTCAAGCACCACAAAGAATTTGAACCTGTTTAGCAGTCATTTTGGCAAGGCAGTATTACAAGGCAGAAATGTTGCATATTTTATAGTCTGAGGTTGAAGGAAGCTAAAGAGTATTAGCCTTTCTGTTAAAGACTTCTTGCATTTCTGAAAAGCGAGCTGCAGATAGACATAGTGAGAAAAGAATATGATATAACTGAGCTTCATCTGGGAGCGTTTTGAAAATACTTTTGTTTGCATATTTAAAGAGCATTGTTATATTTCACTGTGTGCTGAATGGGAAGCTTTAGATAAATGTTATCCTGGCATGTATCTTCCTCGTTTCCAATAGTACAGTTCAGATATTATATAGCAATTTATACTTAAGTATTTACTTGTGTATCCATTTATTTCCATTAGTTATTCATAGGCACTATGGTGATCCAGGATATATGCACCATAAGGCTAAAGATAAAAAGCCGTAACAACTGCAGTAGTAGAGAGGCAGGTCGAGATTTAAATCTTCTATGAAAATCTTCTAAACCAAACTCTTGGGCTTTGCTTTTTAATTCATGAGCATCTGTTATAATAAATGATATTTTTATACAGTATGTCTGAAGGCAAGAAGTGTATTTTATGGCTAATGTTATTTTATTATTCATAGTCTGACAGAGGATTAGCATTTTTCATAGCTTCCAAGTGGAATATAGTATGAAGTAAACAAAGTAAACAGAACGAACACGGTGGAACCTGTATATCTCTTTATATTTTATATCTGTTGCTCTGTGACATGAATGAACTGTTTTGCCTGCAGAAACAAGAATGGAAGAAACTTTTCAAAAACTGACTAATGATATTTTCATTTTGGGGGGCCCAAACTGAGAGAACTTGAAGGGGCCTGATTTTCAATAAGTGCTGAGCACCTTCCTTTTAAGGTTTTTGAACTGTCCCTCAGAAACTGAGATGATCAAAATAACTGCCCTTCCTTTTAAGGTTTTTGAACTGTCCCCCAGAAACTGAGATGGTCAAAATAACTGATCAGCTGCTTTTGAAAATCTTGGCCTTGATGATTCCACTGATTATTTTACAACTTTGGCAGAAAAGAAACAGTTGCTGTAGCTTTTCAGACTTCCTTGTTTCCTAGTTTAACAGTGGATTTGAGCTACCTCAATAGAAGCGACTGAACAAAAAACAAAACAAAACAAACAAAAAACTACAGAGTTGGCAGACAGGATCGAGGTTGTTTTATTATATGCAAAAACTTCTGGTTTAAGGAACTTGCTCAATGGCCAGCCACTCTGGTATAGCATTGTCTGAAAAAATATTTGTACCCTGCTTAGCTTTTATTATTACTTATTTTATTAATGCTTAGTATTGAGTACATCTTCCTTAGCTCTCCAGTATTTGGTTCCAGTACTAAGGTTTGTGCCATCCTAGGCAAACTGGAAAATGCATTTCTCACATCCTTGATTACCATACAATAAACAATCACTGAACATTTTGCTACACCTAATATTTGGCTGCCATGGAGACACTGTGATCGTTTTCTATAGGCCCTGTTTGTTCTCCTCCTAGTACCCAGCTTTCTTTTGGAAAGCATGCTGAGCTGATGCCTGTGCCATTTTCATTCCTCTTGATGTGTATTGGCATTTGTTTAAAACTAACTGTGTTGAAATGCCAGAATGCCTTCAAAGGCAAAGTTATTTTTCAGCAGCTGAGTGATGGGTATCATGATCCTAAAGATGCTATCATTTGTTACTGGGAAGGCTGGGAAATAATTAATGAAGTTCCTGAACACTAGAAAGGGGTGATGGAGTCATTAGTGGTGTCTTGTACTTTTCACTGAGCCTATTAGAATTTTTTTTGCACCTTTACTAATGGTCTCTGCTAAGACTACTGGAGTTACATTAGACATGAGGGTAACTTTTTCGCCATATAAATGTTTTCAGGATTTTTGTCTAGTAGTTAACATATGTCATAAAGGTGACTATTTGCTCTGTGTTTCATTGTGATGGTAATGATGTACAATTTCTGAGAAAGTGTTTAAAATGGACTGAATTCTATATGGAAGTCATGATCCCCTGGGATTTAGTAATGCAGGACTTTGTGTGTGTTTCATAAAATAGACAAAATAATGCCCCCCTGGGATTTAGTAATGCAGGACTTTGTGTGAGTTTCATAAAACAGACAAAATAACGCCCCCTAGTACATGTTAGAGGCTATCACTAAGTTTCAGGTGATCCAAGAAAGACACATGTGGTGGAGGCTATCACTAAGTTTCAGGTGATCCAAGAAAGACTAGAAATGCCACATGTGGTATGGTAGACAGCAAGATTCTTAAGGCTTAAGATTCTTAAGATTCGTATGGCCTGGGGAAGGAAAGGGTCAGTATCACTTGCAAATTAGGTACCACCTGGTAAAATATACCTAGTTGTCTAAAAGAAAGATTGGTCCCAGATGGTCACATTTTCAAACCAGGGGACAGGGGCTGTGCACCATTCTATTCCCATATTTTCATATGTAGGTAGGTAATTGCACATGGAAATGGATAGTTGTGTGCATAGTTCTCTGATGTCGGTCAGTGAATGCTATTCTTGTAGGACCATTCAGTATTTCTGAATGCTGGAGAGCCCTTGAGAACTCTAGGGTCTCTGTTGGCTCCTTAGCTAAGGATGTTTCCATTGATCCTTAGGGGAATGATTCACCATCATCCATTTTGAGGTGATAATGAATCATCTGATCAGCTGGCAAGCCCCAGTCCTTTCTGAAAGTTTGAGTCAGAAATGGACAGTTCAACCAAACGGATGGGACAAAACATGAGCAATCAGAATCTATGTGGATGTGAGGTAAGGAGAGAACTACCTCCCTCTGTGACTGGTCCCCTGCTATGGGGATTTTAAATAAAAGCATGAGAAATCAAACACAATCACAATCCCTTTCTTTTTTCCTTCCTCTTAGGTTATTGTAGCCATATGTTACCCAGCAGGGAGAGGGGCTTGGTGCAGGGAGGGAAGGCAAAATTTTCCACAGAATTGCTAGGTAGAATCATCTCATCACTTGAAAAACCCTTGTGGAACATATTGTTCTAGACCAGCATTTCCCAATTGGTGCTTTCTGGGGTTCTGCAAAGCGAAAGTAAAGGTTCCGCAAGAACTCGGCACTCTCTTGCCCTGGTGGGACTCGGCGTGTCTTTTTTTACCCTGGCAACCCCAGGGGTTCCTTGAAATTCTTTCAACTTGAAAAGGGTTCTGGCCAAATAAAATTAGAAAACACTGTTCTGGACTGTCTATCCTCATGTCATTTACCCTGCACAGCATTTAGTTTATGTGGCTTTCTGGGGGTGAATGAGTCCCAGGAGGTAACATGAACTGAGCCTAGGATTTCATCCAAAGTCAGTAGAACTTCCCAAATTCACTGACCCATACGTAAAATTAAGGTGGTGTTTTATTTTTGGTAACTGTGTCTAAAAATGAGTTAGGTGTTATTAGAGAGGTTAGCAATTGCCTCCAGACGATGAGTTATGATGTGCCTTTGCATGGCAACACGTTTAACCTTCTCATTTCTAATGCGTGACCTTTTATGTTGTAAAGAATTAAAGCTCTTTTTTTTTTTGCAACTAGACCCAGCTTTTCATGCAGAGACTAGCTCAAGTCCTGTGACTGCATGTCACTAATATGGTGCTGAGTGATATGCTTGTGTTTAGTATCACTGGCATGCAGTCCTTAGAGGAATGAAGAGATACAATAAAAGTCTTGTTAAACTTAATTAGAAGGATTGCTTGTTGATATCATTTGCAGATTGCTGTTTCAGCTGAAGGAACTGCTCAGCTCAGACACAAAGAGTAAATGCTACTGCATTGCTCAGATCTATATACTGTCTGTTAGCAGGTTTCATAGACCATGTGAAAAGCTGTTGAAAACAACTATGGTTAGATTTCTCCACCTCATGAGGCTCTCATCAAATAGTCAACTGTTTTACATTACTGATCTCTTTTGAACACTTGGGGAACTGAATTTAAATCCATGGATTAAAGAGGATTTTGCCAGGAATTATTCTTTTCTAAACTAACTCTAGATGTTTAAAATCACAGAGAGGTTTGGTCTTGTGTTTTGTGATGTTCCAGCTACCTCTTTAGCATTAAAATGGCTGTTGTTTGAAGATAAACTTTGGCTTGAAATGACCTGAATTAGGTTATATTTCTGTTTTACCACATCTTGTTATTCAGAGGACGTCTTCTCACAAATAAATGCTCTGAAGATTCCTCTCTCCATTTCCCCCACCTTTTATCCCCAGACTGAAAAATATATATAAATCCTGCATATCCTAATTAGAAATTGTCCCCAAACCAAACCCCCAGTTGTACAAGGTGCATAGGGCTGCTTGTGTGGACATGTGAAGTCTTGCAGGTAGAAGTCTATAAAATCATGATAGGTATGAAGAAAATTAATAAGGAAAAGTTATTTACTTTTTACCATTACAAAAGAACTAGGGATCACCTAATGAAATTATTAGGTATCAGGTTTAAAACAAACAAAAGTAAGTTTTTCTTTATACAGTGCACAGTCGACCTGTGGAACTCCTTGCCACAAGATGTTGTGAAGATCAGGACTTTAACAGGGTTAAAAAAAAAATCCTAGGTAAATTCATGGAGGTTAGCCAAAATAGGTAGGAATAGTGTCCCTAGCCTCTCTTTGTCAGAGGCTGGAAATGGATGACAGGAGAGGGATCACTTGATGATTACCTGTTCTGTTCATTCCCTCTGGGGCATCTGGAATCGGCCATTGTTGAAAGACAGGATACTGGGTAGATAGACCCAGTATGTCCTTTGTTATGTTCTTATATAAACAGATATGGGTGTGGTTCCAAATTTTGCAGCTTGGGCCCATCTTTTATCATAACACTCTCTTTAGATCTGGCACCATGCACAGTATTGAAGTAATGTACTTGGGGGAAAGAATGAGAATGAATCAGTGCAGTCTCTAGAAGACAGAACAAAAGAAGTATGTGTCTGATAGCCAGCTGGAGTAAATTGACATAGCTCTGTCAATTTCCTCAGGCTTTTTTCCTGAATTGATTTGCAAAAGAGAAGGTAAAATTAATGAAAAATGTAGACTCATAATTAGAGATGAGGTATCAGTTTTGTAAAACATAACCACAACCAGGCATAGTTCTGGTGCAGGTTCCTCTTTATTAATAATCAAGTTCAGAAGTTGTTGAGAGTGTCCAGTTTCAAGATTGCAGTTTGAATTCCTTTCCTGATGAGATAACTCTTGTGATCTGTTCTCCTAAAGTTGATTCCAGTGGAGTGTAATGAAAATTATATATATAACCAATGTATAGTAGCCTTGTATCAGGACCAATATTGCAACAGGGAACACTGAAATGAGAGGGTAACACAAGAATTTCTCAGTTGTCTTAGAAGGATAGCTGTGTTAGTTTGAGTCTGCCATACAGATACCTTTTTGGAAGAACTATGTACACTGCAGCTCATGGGAAGGACTATTGGTGTTGCAAATGTAAAATGCCCCAAACTATGTAAGCCTTAGGCTACTGAGCCAGTGTTTTAAGTGCTACAGTTATTTGCTTGCGGGGATATGTCTGCAAAAACGGAGATTACCTGAGTTGTGTTTGCTATTGGCAAAAGGAGTAGAGAGCATTTAAATCCTATAACTCATGGGAAATTCTGTATTGAATTGCATCCGTATGTAGTTACCTGATATTGGTGTCACTGTAATTGACATTTTAGGCTGAACTGATTGTATTGATTTATGGCTGCTTTTTGATCTATGGTAAAAGAACACAAACAATCCCATTCTCTTGACATTTGTTCAATTTTGCACATATTGATGCATATTTCACACTAGACTTGATTTTCTCTCATAGCTTTCTGCAAACAAGGCAGGGTTATGTAGGCCCAAATCTGGCGAGGCAGATTGTATCTGAAC